CTTTTATTTTGAATGCGATTAATCGACAATGTCAAACTTTGACTATCCAACAATTTTTTTAACTCTAAATGACTCTAAGACTGAGATTATAATTTTTGGTCCATCTGATAAATCTGAGTTTAATAATTCCACCCTGGGCAATCTGTCTGTTTTTAATTCAAGTTGTGTATGTAACCTTGGTGTTCTCATTGATAGTCGGCTAACATTAGATAAACATGTATCCTCCGTCACTGCCTCTAGTTTTTTCCAGCTTCGTTCACTTTCTAAAATAAAACATTTTCTGTCTGAAAAGTCTCTTGAGACAGTTATCCATGCTTTTATAACTTCATGTTTGGATTATTGCAATTCTCTTTTTTACGGTATATCCATGTCTCAGGTAGCTCGACTTCAACTGGTTCAAAATGCTGTAGCTAAATTTCTTAGAAATGGTCACAAAAATGACCATGCCACCCCCGTTTTGCGAGCTCTCCATTGACTTCCAGTCCACTTCAGGATTGACTTCAAAATTCTTCTATTTGTGTATTTATTATTATTATTTTTTTCATTCATTCATTTTTAATTTTAGGCACCTTTCATGACACTCAAGGTCACCTTACAAATATCCCTATAACATCATCGATCAACAACAACATCAAACCAGACAGACAATAAAAATACAATAAAACACTAAAAATAAAACTAACAAACATAACTAAAAGCCCTGGACCCCATACTTCTCAGACGGACACGTGGTTGAACTAGAGAGATTGAAGAAGAAGATCTAAGAATACGTACAGGAGTGCAAATTTAAAGAAGATCAGTGAGATATAATGGAGCTAAATTATTAAGGGCCTCATACGTAAGAAGCAGGATTTTGAAATCAATTCGATATTTAAGCCAGTGTAAGAACAGGAGAAATGTGCTCTATGAAAGGAGTTCAAGAAATAATTTGTGCAGCTGAATTCTGGACCAGCTGTAGTTTATGTAAGGCTTTAGAAGGAAGACCATATAGAATAGAGTTGCAGTAATCAATACGTGATGTAACCAAAGCATGTACAAGAGTAGTAGTGCTGTCAAAAATGGACGAAGACGCTTTATGTTACGTATATGAAAGTTGGCCGAATGCATAATATTATTAATATGGTTTTCGAAAGATAAGTTGCTATCGAGGACAACACCCAGACTCTTTACCTGAGAGGATGGAAAAACTGTTGACTTACCAATAGTCACAGAAAAATTACCAGATTTTACAAAATTAGACTTTGTACCTACAAGAAGAATTTCAGTTTTATCACTATTACGTTTAAGGAAATCAGATGAAAACCAATTTTGTATTTCAGCTAAACAGCTCAACAGAGAAGGAGGAGGAAATACTGAATTAGGCATGGAAGACATATAGAGCAGGGTGTTGTCAGCATAGCAATGGAAATAAATTCCAAACTTCCTAAAAATTTGTCCAAGTGGCAGTAAATAAATAATGAATAGAAGAGGCCCCAGGACTGAGCCTTGGGGAACACTATCAGTGGCATGCAATAACTCAGATCTGAAGTTTTTAAGTTGTACAAACTGAGTGCGACCAGAAAGATATGATCGAAACCAAGACAGACAGGTGCCTGTAAATCCCAGGGAGACAAGCCTGTCTAAGAGGATCTTATGTGAGATCGTATCAAATGCAGCACTCAGATCGAGCAAAATAAGTATAGTCAGCTGTCCAGAGTCCGCTGCCATAAGCAAATCATTAGTGATTTTAACAAGTGCAGTCTCCATACTATGCAGTGGATGGAAGCCAGATTGAAATTTTTCAAACAAATTATTGTCAGAAAGATCATTTGAAACCTGAGTTGCAACTATCTTTTCTTGTATTTTAGAAATAAATGGTAAATTTGAAATAGGACGAAAATTGTCAAAATTAGTTGGATCTGCTCCTGGTTTTTTAAGTATAGGGGTTATTATAGCAGTTTTAAGTGATAAAGGAACAAAACCAGAAGACAGTGAAGAATGAAAAATCTCAGTAATTAAAGAGGACAGAGAAGATAAGTGTGTTGGAAGAGGATCCAGCTGACAGGTAGTGGATTTAGAGATCTGAATGGTGCAGGTTACCTCATCAACAGTATAGACTAAAATTAGAGAAAGTGGACAGAGAAAGTTTAGGAAAGAAGGGATCTAAACAGCCGCAGCCAACATTATATGCAGGTATCTGCTTATGAATACTTCTAATTTTTGTATTAAAATAATCCATAAAAGAATTACATACAGTAGTAGAATACAAGTGTGATGGTAGAGATTTAGTAAACTGCATGAGTTTATTAACAGTAGAGAAAAGCATTCTAGTATTCCCTTCACTTGCGCTAAATAAATTGTAAATGTAAAAATTTTGAAATTCCGATTTAGCCATAGTGATAGCTTCCTTATAGCTTAGCATATGCAGAGCATACAATTCTTTATGCTCAGTATGACCAGTTCTGTAACCTTAACTTATTGACAATCGCTTGTTCAAAGTTAAACGCAGAGGGGATCGAGTTTATTCGTTGTTAGGTCCTCGACTGTGGAATAGCTTGCCAGTACAACTTAGAATGGCCCCATCTTCACCGGTTTTTAAATCTCTTCTTAAAACTCATTTGTTCTCCTTAGCCATCAACATGTGTTAATTGCTGATTTTGTTTCTGTTTTAAATGTAGTATTTGTGTATTCTGCTCATGTTCATTTTGATTATTTTTTATATTGTATTTTTTTTATATTGTACTTATTACTTTGCTCATGTACAGCACTTTGGCCAGTCTCTAGGCTGTTTTAAAAGTGCTTTAAAAATAACTAAACTAAACTAAACTTGTGTGCCACTACGAATAACTAATTTTGCCCCTAAAAAAGTTTTATCAAAAGTTATTGTATTGGTGACAGCAGTATCAGTAAAGATCACACTTAATATAAAGTATGCGATGTGACGTGTGAAGAAATTTGTTGTTTTCAATCAAGCTGTAATTCTGACAAAATGCAAAATGTATCAAAACATTATTGTTTTTTAATTGTAAATGTATTGTACAAATTGTGTTTTATTTTTTATTTTATTTTAAATAGCCTTAAGACAAATGAGTAAGACATTTCATTCCGAAAATGTGTCCACAGGGACAAAAGTGACTATACTGACCAAATATATATTAGACAGGTGGGGAAAAGAGATTTTAGATGTTGTTCTTACATAAAAGAGCAATCTGTCCAATTTTACAGACAGATTAATCTGCTAAAGAGCCATTTGGTGCTGTTGTGTGTGTAAGTGTTTGGATTACAGATGTATTCCTGTCCAAACAACCTCACCAAACACATTTTGGATCTATATGCTTGTAAATCTGCCATGTTTACAGTGATTTGTCTTATCATTGAACGTATGGTATCATTTACGAGTGTGTAGTTTGCTAATGGATCAGGGATTATGTACTCTAGACACTTAACACAGCTTCCAGATCCAGTGGATTTATATTTAATAACACTTCATCTGTGACTTTACACATAGACTAAAGGCTATTTGCATAGTACAGTATGTATTAAAGGAGCTTAATTTGAAATGACGCAGGATGCAATATTTCTTTAGTTTCTTCATACATCACATCTCATCCCTCTTTTCAAACATGATCTTCATTTACAATGTTATCTTGTTATTAAGCATGCTAACGTTCGATAAAACTTCATTAGGGTAAAAACTGTTGTATGTGGTGGAAAAGATACTTCAACAAAGGCATGACTGAGAGCTGTAATTTGTGTAAAAATCTATAATTATTTTCACATAAATATTGAAATGATTCATATTTACTCTCTGTATTTGGATTACTATATCTTTAATATACAACTATTTGTATGAAGAATTTCAATATTTAAGTGTCTATTATTAAATATGTAAAATAATAGTCATAATAATCAAAACGTGGATGTAATCATATTCTGTTTGGACTACAATGTGACATTACTGTAAACGTTGAAAGTGTTAAAAAAAAAAAAGTAGATAAATGTTCCAGATTGCTGTCAATATCCAAAGATGTGCCTGTGTATTTCTTTATTACTGGACAATAACTCATATTTTTCTTTAAACGATTACTCATTTACCATTTATTTGCTTCATTAAATCACATGTGAAAATATTTCTCAATGCAATTCCAAATGTCATTAGACAGGCAAAATAAGGTACATAGTAAGATCTGCATCCATTAAAAAAGAAAAGTTTATTCAAATCATGAACAAAGAATTGTGAAACCATTTTAACAACTGTGAGAAAAATAAGGCATACTCCTCTTGTGGAATGATCACATAAAAGCCCAAAACTCAATTCATCATATCTCGCCACATTGTAAAATCTCTGAGCTGTATGAGCAGAAATAAGTCATTATGGCACAAAATTTCATCTATCCAATCACCATTCAGTTCCATTATATATCTGTCATGTCGTAGTATTCGAATGAGGCTGTTTATCTAGTTTTCCCTTTAAAAGGTGTCATAAAATAATAATTATCCACAAATCAGCATGAAGTCTCTCATCCGTGTTTCTTCCACAGTTTGAGGTTGATGCTGCGCTTGTGCACTACGGTAAGATGAGGGCACTAGAGAGCTAAAAGCACTAACACAGCTTTCAAATAGACTATGACGGTCATTTTTCAGAGCAAGACAGTTTGTAAACCAGGATCATAGGATGTTGCTGGTGTCCAAGTTGGCAAGAGGCAACCGTTAAGTAACTTGGTGATGAACACAGCAGCTTTCCCGTTCGCAGATCTAAAACCTTCAGCTGACCAAAGCAGAAATCCACCATATACCTTTCCAACTGACCTCAAATTCTCAAAGAATAAGTCCCAAATAAAAACGGAAGTGTCAATAGTTATTCATTTCAAAAAAACAATCTTTCTTTCCCATTCTAAAATGAGACTAAAAACTCCTCGGGGTGTCAAACAGGGTATTTTTGTTTGTCATTTATACAGAGAATACATATTTACAGTACACAGACTCTGCTCGGAGCAGGCATCACAGTACAAAACATCTGAATGACCAATCAGATCCTTTTTTCAGGATTAAACAACCAGTCAGGTTTGAAAAAAAAATGGGTGGTAAGTCAAATAATAAAGCTGTACATGCACATGAACTCAACAGAAAAATGTCCACCTGCAAGCCTTTGGACAACACATTTTTCAAGTGTCATTTAATAATATATATATATATATCTCAAGGGAGTAAAAACAAAGAAAACATGGAAATGTTCTTAATGAAAAGTGTTTTAGCTAACTAGCTAGGCAAGGTGAAATTCGATCAAAGTTTAAAACAACTAATCAATACTGTAGAAAAAGAGGGACAATAAACTCAATACACTTAATGTTTGTAAAGTATCTAAACATTTATCGTCATTGTAAATGGGCACAATTGTGTTGGTTCATCTTTTAAAAGATTCATGGACAAATTTCATATAAAAACCAATAAAATACCAAATTTAAAGCATACATGACAACCCAACAACAACCGCATCTTTTTAAACCAGCACCACTGAAGAAAACATCAAATTAAGAGGTGGACACATGATTGCATTTATTTGTGTATGGTCATCGTAAGCCGTCAGCCCACAGGGCTTTATGAAGGGACAGGGCAGCCCATTCCAGAAGTCCATAGGTGCTTCTCAAATCTTGGTCCCGACTGCAATGTTCCTGCGTTCACTCCAACCGCCAACTTGAATAAACCGACAGAGGCATGATTCAAACCACATCTGTGGCCAATTCTGTTCAAAGTCCCGTTTACACTTTTCAGACCTTCAATGTTGCTTCAAGTGAAGAACACTAGTGCTGGTGGCCGATGGACAGCACCAGAGGTATCAGACAGCCTAGAACCAGAGCTCCAACCTCCACTTTGCTCAGTCCCTTCCCTGCGCTGCCTCCGGGCGAGTGGCTGTGGCCGCCCATGCCGCCCACTTCCGGGAGGACGTGCACCGTGGCTACGTACAGGAAGGTGCCGGCGGAAAACAGCATGGCCACGCCGGTGGCGTTGACGTCAGATAGCGCCTCTTTACTGCTCTGGATGGAAGAAGAGGAAAAGTGTTAGATGACGGGTGAATCTAGGACACAGTCGGATTGGTAGAAACTTGTTTTTTGGCAGACATTAAATATTCAGTATTGTTATAGGGATGCTCGTTGACGTCCCAGCGGTAAGATTGCATTGCTTTTCTGCATTTCAGTGATTTTCAGGCTGTCTAAAGAAGCACAATTATGGGGTGTTTCACAGCAGGAGAGCCAGAGGTGAGTGATCTTCACTCTGCCGCCTCAGCCGTTCCCACGGCGATGGGAAGCCTGCGGGACAAATCTGAAAAACACAGCGTGGGTCTCCATGCTTGTTATGTAACCCTGGTAAAGCATCTGAAGTTATTGCTGTGAAGTTATAAAAAGGACACTAAACCTTGTGCCATTATGGGGTAATTAGTAGATGTAACATTATAAAACAAATGTTACAATCCCTACAGGGGAACAAAAAAGGATATATGTCAATTTAGCACACATTTAAATAAATATTGGCAGGGTAGTTTTAGTGTCAAATTAATAATAATAAAAATAGATTACATAAATTAATAAATAAAGGTATTATTGTGTGTATCAGTCTGGTTCCGGAAGACAAAACTCATTTTCTTCATAGAGAGCATATTTTGCAATAGTTTTTTCTTTTTCAATATATTGTCAAAATATCCTTTCTATTGATACAAAATGAAAAGTTCTTTATTGCACCATTCCTTTTCATTTGATTATGCCATTCACAAAGCTTCATGGGATTGTAGCAGTAAACAGGTAAACAAAGGAAAACAGTATTTAACCTTTGTAAAAAAAATAATTCCAGAAGCAACATCGCTGACAGAGTGGGCAGGCACTAATGCACTCTTAAAATATAACATTCTTATTTTTAATATTATTATTATTTATTTTTACTTTACAATTTTTGCAATAAGGTTCTATTTGTCAACTATATAATGCATTAACTAACAGCGAGCAATACATTTGTTACAGTATTTAATTTTTATTAAAAAAAATTTGAATAATATTTAAAAATATTTTATTAAAAAGTATTTAATGTTGGACACAACATTAACTAAGATTAATAAATGCTTTAGAAGGTTTTTTTTTTTCCATTGTTAGTTTGCTAACTAATGCTAATCGAATGGAACCTTGTTGTAAAGTGTTACTTTTTGTAATACTTAAACATACCTGACTGAGTCCTGCGTAGGTGAGCATGGCCAAAACAGGGGCAGCCAAGGCAAAGACTAATAGATGTTTCCGGATACGGTTTCTTTCTAAACCCGCATGCATGAGGAAAGAGACGAGTCCAAAGGCAGCAGGAGCCTGAAATACAAGACATATCAAGCATGCCAGACCTAATCAAATTTAATGAGTATAAAAAATGAATTTAAAATTAGAGTCTACTCTACACAGTTCAAAAAATATATAAGTCAAGCAAAATAAAAGGTACAGTTGTGTTTATTTATAGCCACCAACAATAAATAAAAAGTTTGCACTGGAAACACATCAATTCGTTTTGAAAAGCAGGCCATTGGAAAATAATGGAGATGGAGAAAACAGAAGACGACGATGTAAGGGCAAGTGATATCAATCATAAATCAGTTTATAATTTTCATTTAAAATATTCACAAAATCTGCCCTTTAATTAAAGTACAATAATAGACCAGTATACAAATAATAGAAAAAAAAATATTCCACATTTATTTTTATGTACATTTTACTTCAATTAAAAACAATAAGCAAAGAAACAGCAATTTTTTTTACAGTCCGTTTTGCTCAAATTAATCAAGGGTGCCTATATTAAAGGGGTCATATGATGCAATTTCATTTTTTCCTTTCTCTTTGGAGTGTTACAAGCTCTTGGTGCATAAAGAAGATCTGTAAAGTCAATAATACACAACAGGGTATTAAAAAAAACAGGGTATTAAAAAAAACCTTTCGAAGTTCGGCTACCTGTCTCATTCATATTTGTGTCAAATTACACAAAATATTTTCACTGATATTGTATTACTTTTTTAAAATATACCGAGTCTATGTTTTAAATATTTGGAGAATTTTTTTGGAAACCATCCATTTACATTCAGTCACTCAGCAGGCATTTCTAAACAAATCGATACGAATAAGGAACAGCGCAAATCATTTATCACAAGAGTCAACTATATTCACAGAACAATAACGTAATACACAATGTAGAGCAGAAGTAAATTAACTTAATTAAGATTGACTGTACCTTATGCAACATAATGGCCACAAATACAATGAGCTGGACGCTGGTCTGAGACGTGGACGCAGCTGCTCCAAGAGCAACACCATCAGCTGGAGCACAGAGAGTCGTTCATTTGTTCATTACTTCAAGGTTCATTACTATGTTTTTGACTTTAGGAATTTTGTATTCTACTTCTTTTGTATTCTAATTATATTTTATGTAAATGTACTATACTAATCAGAGGTTTGGAACCGGTAAGATTTTTAAGAAATGTAGGATGCATTAAATTGGGCAAAAGTGATGGTAAATTTATAATTTTACAAAAGCTTCATATTTCAAATAAATTGTTTTTTTTTTTTTTTACTTTCCATTCATCAAAAAATCCTGAAGATAAAAAAAATCTCTGTTTCCACAAAAATATTAGGCAGTACTTTTTTGAACACTGATAATGTTTCTTGAGCACCAAATCAGCATGATTTGTGAATGACTTTCTGAAAGCTTTGCCATCACTTGAATAAATTATATTTGAAACTATATGACAATTAAAAAAAAAACAGTTATTTGAAATTGTAATAAGTTTTCAATGTTTCTGCATTTTTGATCAAATAAATACAGCCTTGGTGAGCTTGACACTTATTTCAAAAGCATTTTAAAAAATCTTACCAACCCTAAATTTTAAAACAGTAGTGTATAAATATGTTAAATGATGTCACTCTAATTAAGATTAATTTGTTCAAAAATCCTTGATGTTTTGTGCCAGAAATAATACAACTAAATTAGAATTTATATAATAAGATCCATTTAATAACATACATTGCTACAAAAGTGTCAGCTACATTTTGTTAGTAGTGTATAGTACAGATATATATATACACAGGTGCATCTCAATAAATTAGAATGTCGTGGAAAAGTTCATTTATTTCAGTAATTCAACTCAAATTGTGAAACTCGTGTATTAAATAAATTCAGTGCACACAGACTGAAGTAGTTTAAGTCTTTGGTTCTTTTACAAAAACAGCCTGACCTAACTATAGTCAATAGTTTAGCTAGTAGTTTTACAAGCTACAGCAGAATGCCTACCACACATGAAAGCATTCCTACAGATAAGCATCTACATATCAGATAAGGATTTAGGAATGAAGAACTTTGCCCAAAGCTATGAAATATTTTGTGCATTGAATAGAAAAGGAATCAATGCATCAACTAGGGCTGTGCAATTAATCACATGCGATTGTCATGCGAATCTCGTCAGTAAAGCCGGTCCTGTGATTAGTAGTAAATCCCCATCACCTGCTTTCAGATGGAGCGGCATGCACTACACAGAGCTGTAGTTCACTGACAATTAGGCAATATCGCGTTCATAATCGCAGATGAATCGCATTCAATTATGAACGCGATATCGCCTAGCTTGTCAGTGAACTACGGCTCTGTGTATTAAATGCCGCTCCATCTGAAAGCAGGTGATGGAGATTTACTACTAATCACGGGACCGGCTTTACTGACGAGATGCGCATTACAATCGCATGCGATTAATTGCACAGCCCTAGCATCAACTGAAGCATAAACTCGAATCTCACCTTCCAGTATTTCCTCATAGAGTGCATGAACTCCCTCTGGAATAATGACAGCCAGCGCAGTGCCACACAACAGCCCGGCTCCCAACACTGTCACCAACTTCAGCTTTTCCTGAAGATAGAAGAGTAGTCACAAACACTTGCATTTAGGTCACAAACACTTGCATTTGGATCACTAAATTATGTATTTAGGTGAGGTTGATATCAGGTTAACGTCATATGCAAAAGTTGGATATCATAAAAATAGGTTTAAAATATATTAATCAAGAGAAGCATGCAGGTACAATCCCAACTCACAGAAATCATAAACTGCTTAAAGACAAAAACTTCATCTGGGTCAAAACCAGGGCCATACGCACCACAGACAGAGCAATATAATGGCTAGGCAGATAAATTAACTAATATTTGGTGATTTTGAGAACAGCATCAGCTTATAAATACCATTAAAAGTCAAGTTTTTTTATTTTTCTAAAACCCTTATGATTTCTGAAGGATTATATGACACTGATGACTGAAGTAATGGCTGCTGAAAATTCAGATTTGCCAACACAGGAATAATGACATTTAGAGTATATTAAAAACAGTTATTTCAAATTGTAATAATATTTCACAATATTGCCATTTTACTGTATTTTTTGGAACAAATAGCCCTGTTGAGCGTAATAAATAGTATTTAAACGGTAGTGTACCTAGTAAAATATTAGTGAATTATTATGTAAAATACATACATACATAAAATTCTGAATTTCAGTGTATGGGTACATTCAACTGCTGATTCAAAACTGAAGAACTTTACCTCAGCGTTTTAAATGCCTCCCACGTTTCTACATTAGTCACTACAAACATGTTTTGATGGCTCATAAACTATACAGCTCGTTTGTCCAGAAAATCAATCTGAACCGCATTTTAAAATCAGTTCCGTGTCAAAAGTTTAAACAAATTCAGCGTAGGTGGCAAGTTAAACAGCAGCGTGTGTCTACAGTATAAACTGACGGTTGATATCACATTCAACATTTAAACTTTTAAGACTATTGAGCAGCTTAAATCAAGGGTGCGCAAACTTTTGGAGATATCCCAGTCCTCAGCACTGCACATGATGGACGACTATCTTCTCATAGTTAGCTTTCTGGAGAGAACTTATCTCTGCAGGAAGGTACATTGAGAAACTCTCAAGGACTGAGCACACCATAAACTATTGTAGACACGTTCAACTCAAGTTAAGGCTCACCTCAGAGAAGTTGACAGCCAGGGGAATTGTTCCAGCCACATAGCAGCCGACTAGCATAGCCAGAGACAGCAGACTGATGGAGCTGAAGTCATCCATTTCAGCTAAAGATACACCGCTGTCTCAGTCTGAGAATCACTTTAGAGTTTAACAGCAGATCCTGTACAATCGACCGATGTCTGGTGCCAGCAGATCCGTCTTAACGTACTTGGATTGGTGTATTAGCTGGTTAGCTAGTCAGTTTGATGCATGTATCCTTACAAATCAGACGATTAAACACGAACACCCACTGCTGATCTGCTGTAAAGTCGGTTTGGAGATCTTGGTACATTGACCTGGTCGATTATCTGAACGCTGTTGCTCAACTTTAATCACACAGAATCACGTCGCGCTTAGCAAAGGCTAACTTAAATCATAACAATCGGTCTGCGATTAAACAAATAAATTAACAGATTTGTGAGTAGTTTTCATAGTCTACTTCTCTGATCTCAGGCTGCGCTTAATGGCATTGTGATCCCTTAACAGGCGACACTGTTTTGTCTCAGAAAACCCATCTAGTTTGTTACCTATTCCGCAGTATCGACCATCACTGATCGCCAACTAACCGAGTGTAATGTTGGCAGTGCGAATAAAGCACTTCCGGGCCACATCGCCGTCAAAACAAAAGCCCCCACCCCCTCTTTAAATTACGCCAAATAACGTCACCAAGACGCTCACCGACAAAATACTTGTAGTGTAGCCAACAAAAATGCTTAAATTCATCCCCAATATTTAAGGTATTTTTAGTGGAATTTGATTGTTTTACATCTTCTCTGAAATTGTTAAAAAACAAAAAGTCATTAACATGTTTAAAATATTATGACATTATTTTCAGTTCCAGTTACTAATTAATGTCACACTTTGTATAACACTATAGCACAGAGCATAGTTATTAGTCTCATGCTATGCTCTGTTTGTTCTATTTTCATTAAAAAAAAAAAAACTTTTACTACAAACCTTAAAAGTATAATAAATAAATAAATAAATAAATAAAATAAAAGTACTTGCTGATAATGTAATATTAAGTACATAAAAGCCAGAGTTTATAATTGTATTTATATTTTTAGTGTACCTTTGATCAGTGAAATATATATTTTTAAAAAGTGCACTCTGTAATCATGCACTGATCTATATAATCTCAGTTACAGATCAGTGTAATCATGTCAAATTAAAAGTTTAATTTTAAAGAACATTTTAAAACAATATGTTTTAAAAATCTTTTGTCATGCTTTGAAGAAGTAGGCTACACTTATTTTGATGTGGTGACTAACATACTAAATCACATGTAAAGTTCTTTATTATCATTTTAAATGTAGTGAGTTAGTATATGATAGTAGCCTACATTTAAAGTTAATATAGAGGCTATTTTAAATATACTGTAAACAAGGGCGCCTTAAGATAACCAAAGGCCCCTGGGCTACAGAATTACAGTAGGCCCCCTGACCCCAGAAAACCTCTTTTTTTTTTTAAGCTTCCTAACAATTATTTGTCAAAATTCGTTTTTTGTGTTGTTAATATGCCAGTTAACATTCACAACACTGTTCTGGTAAAATGTGAACATAAGCAAATATGCAAATTCACTCTTTGCCACAAGGTGGAGCTTTTGGAACAGCAGAATTACATGTCATCAAAACTTTCCTGGCTGAAATGTGAGTTTACAGGTATGATTTAAACACCATAAATCACACAAAATATTAATTCATCATCAGTAGATCAAAACAACATGGCATGTTAGCATAAATGTGGGTTATTTGGTGATCAATTGCTAACTGCGTTTTTATTTGGAAACATGACATGCTCGCGTTTAATTAGTTAAATCACAGCGTATAAAGTTTAATGATCACATTTAAGCAATAGGACAATTCCTATTTTTCATACCCAGATTTAAAATTGAGACTTTGAAGCAGCACTATTTATGGAACACAGATACACACAGATTACAGATAGATTACAAGATTACTACAAGCAAGTTACAGAACTCTCACTGGCTACGTTTACATGCACAATTTTAGGTTCAATCGGATCTGAATTCATTTCGATTGATGAATCTGAATGTAGTGTTTACATGAACGCTAAATAAAGTGATCGGGTTGATGTGCGCGTTTATGTCACAAGCTTCAAAAACATTTTATTTGAC